TAGCTCTATAAATCTCTTATCCTTGCATGGAATACTAGTGTCATATTTAGGTTGCTCCTTTTAATTTTTTTTTTTTTTTAACATCTTCACTTCCAACAAGGCTGCAAGCAACCACTATAACAGTTGGAAGTTACTGGAAGAGAAAAGACTAAATCTGTGGAGCAAGATAACGATTGACTGATGACTTAAAAGATTGCAAATTATATGAATCAGGAAAGCAAGATGAAGGAAGCGAATTCCAAAGAACTGATGTTCGAGGAAAAAAACTAGAAGAATAAGAGTTTTTGAAGCACTTAGGAACAGTCACAGAAAAAGGATGAGACTTAATTGAATGGCGAGTAACACGAGAATGAATTTTAGTAGATGGCACAAGAGACGCTAGCTCTTTAGAGCAGTGCCCATTATAGTATTAGTAGAAAAGAGAAAGAGAAGCAACATTACAACGATGTGACAAAGGTTGGAGATTGGCTGCCAGAGCAGGTCCAACTATGTTTACAATTCGTTTTTGCACCTTGTCTAAAAGAGAAAGAGCATCATTAGAAGATCCGCCCCAGATGTGGCAACAGTATTCCATACAGGGACGGATTTGAGATTTATAGAGATAGAGAATAGAATCTGGAGTAAGAAAGTGTCGAGCTCGATAAAGAGATGCAACCTTAGCAGATGCTAATTTTGCAATGGATTTGATATACGGTTTAAAAGAAAGATCAGAAGTAAGAGTTAATCCTAGAAGATGAATGGTAGATGACTCATCTAGTACATTACCATTCATAAATATAGGAAGATCTAAATTATTACGATAACGATTGGCCGAATAAAACTGAGTTTTATCTGAATTAAAGTTCACCAGCCACTGCGAGCCCCAAGCTGTAGCAGAAGTGAGATCCTTTTCAAGCTCAGATACCCACTCCAAGCAATCAGAGAGTGTAGGCTTCTTATCATGACAAGAGTAAATGGTAGTGTCGTCAGCGAATAATGCCACCTTAGATGTGAGAATATCTGGAAGATCGTTAATGTAAATTAAAAAGAGTATAGGGCCAAGGATTAAACCTTGAGGAACCCCTGAAGTTACAGGATGTGAAGAAGAGTGTTGTCCATCGAGGACAACTTTTATACTACGATTGGAAAGAAAGGACTCAATAATCTTAAAGACGTTACCAGCTACACCATAAGAAGAAAGCTTATGGAGAAGACCAGCATGCCAAACTTTATCAAAAGCTTTAGAAATGTCAAGTGCGATAGCCTTAACCTCTCCACCTCTATCTAATGCACGGTAAAACCTATCGGTTATTACTGTTAGCACATCAGCTGTAGAACGAGAAGACCGAAATCCATATTGATGATCAGAAAGTAAGTTATTTGATTCAAGATGAGAGATTAAGTGTTTGTTGATTAAAGATTCAAAAACCTTGCTTATGACAGGAAGAAGACTAATGGGACGGTAGTTAGATGAATTAGATCGCTCTCCGGAATTTTTGAAAATAGGGATAACAGATGCTGCTTTCCAGCATGATGGAAAACAAGACTCTGATAAGCACTTGTTAAATAGTTTAGAAAGTATGGATGAAAGCTCCGGAGAACACCTCTGCAAGACTACAACAGGAATGTTGTCAGGACCACAAGCTGATGAAGAGTCTAAGCAGGAAATTACTTTAGATACAGAAGCTGAAGTGATGCGAATGTCAAGCAAGGGATCAACCTGTTTGACGGCTATGTCAGGTAAAACGCAACTAGTGGAATCAAGAGATGATATTGATGAAAAGTTCTTAGCAAACAATTCAGCTTTGTCTTTAGGTGAGGTGACAAAGTCTGAACCATACAAGAGAGAAGGAATAACAGATTTGCCCTTATTATTGATACTGTTAAAGATTCTCCAGAAGTCTCGAGAGCCTAATTTTTGTAATGAGATACGAGATTTAATGACCTGGGAATAGCGAGCTTTGGCGTCAGACAAAACCTTTTTACAATGGTTTCTGGCGATAGTGAACAGATGTCTGTTTTCTGGAGAATTGTTTTGCTGATAGATATGGAAGTAACGGTTTCAATTAGAAATTGCTGCAGCGCAATGTGAGGAAAACCAAGGAGAAGAGTGAGGCTTGACCTGGAATCGTCGAGAGGGAATAAAAGATTCCATGCCAGCTGAATCCACAAAGTTATGTAAGAAGCACATTTGTCAGCAGGAAGACGAAAGATTTCTACCCAAGGGCCATCACGAAGAAAATCACGGAAAGAGTCCCAGTCAGCTTTAAGGTAGTTGTATGTGGTACGATGATAGGGGGATTCTGATGAAGTAGAAGAATTTGATAATAGTTTTAGAGAGATCAAACCGTGATCAGAAGTACCTAAGGGTGAATGTGGAGAAATTGAGCACTGACTAGGATCCAAAACAAGACATAAGTCCAGTAGAGAAGGTAAATGATTAGGGTTGTCTGGAAAACGAGTTGGAAAGTTGACTATTTGAGTTAGAGATTGAGAAAGGCAAAAGTTGAGGGCCTTAACGCCAGCAGAGTCACTGACACTAGAGCCAAGCCAATCGGTGTGATGGGCATTAAAGTCACCAACAACGACGATATTGGCCGATGGATAAAGAGAGAGGGCTTAATTAAGCTCATTCTCTTTTAGACATAATCCAAAAACAAATTGTAAATGTAGTTAGACCTGTTTTAGCTCCTATGCTTGTGCTTCTGATTTGTCATACATCTTTTTCCTGCAACTACTACCATAGTCACTGCTAAAGCAACATTTTTTCACACCTTTTGTTTAATTTAAAAAACTGTATTTGTTCTACACAAAATTCTTGTTCTACCTAAACTCATGTGACTTATCGTTGTATACTTTTACTTCAATTGTACTTACATTTACAGTACTCCACTATGCTCAAAAAACTTTTAGAAACCTAGTTTTTTACCTCAAACACAATACTTTAGAAGTCCTGTCTTTATGCTTTCCTTACTCATGCAGTTTACAGTTTTGAAAGTCTTTTCTCAACCATTTTCTTGTTATTTAACATTCTCTGTTGCTTTCTGTTAACTACCAACTTACATAACATTAATTGCAGCCATTTTGGAAGTAAACTTGATATTAAAAACATTAAATTGTATAATTTTGTCTCAAAAATAAAAGATACACCTATATTATGCATTTGCTTATAAAATTGGTAAATCAATAAAAAAAGGCCGATACTGATAAGAATATTTATTGTGCTAAATGTAGCAAATTAAGCCGATACCGATTAATTGGTACAACATCAACACAAACACATAAATACTTTTTCACTTGTTTTAAGGGCTTATTACTTAAAGGATCTTTCGCACAAACAAAAAAAATCAATGACGACATATATTGAAACTCTTAGGAATAAAACGCAGTTGAATAAATTATCAAGTCTGCAAATTGCAGCGTATAATATGCTAACTTTTAGGCCTACAATAAAACAGAGAAAGCGAGTTTCAACTAAAATAAAAAAATTATTTTTTCTTGGTATTCATTTATTCTTTTGTTTTAATAAAAAAAATTTAGCCCAAACATTTTATTATCATTTTCTCATGAACACAACATATGTAAGAGGTTTTTCTTTTTCTTTCTTTTTTTTTTATTATTCACCTCCCCAATGCTGAAAGGGCCACTACAGTCGAGGAGGCTATTTTTGTAGTTACAACCTCTCTGAACTCTATAACTCCGAAACACAAACCTCGACAAACAAGGCCGCTGCACGGAGAAACAAGTTGAGCGCGGAGAAACGCATTTGGGATCCATTTAAGAATTTTTTATAGACTTGTTACAAATTTTATACTCTAGTTACCTTAAAAAGAAAAAAAATACCAATTCAAAACAATGATCAGCAAAAGAAAATTAAAAGATAACTATTTCAAATTAATGACTAGTAAGAAAAATGTAATGGGATTGCTCAAGATGTGATTGGCCAGTATATGTATCTGCAAGATGTGATTGGCCAGTATATGTATCTGCAAGATGTGATTGGCCAGTATATGTATCTGCAAGGAATATCATGCACCATTGATGGTTTTTTGACTTTAGCTCACTTTGCTTCAGTTCACTTTTTGTTTCACTTAGCAAATAATAGACTAATATAAGAAATTTAATATTGAAACTCTAAATAATACATGTTTAACCCATCTGCCTAATTTGTAGAATGGAAAATTAGGGAGTAATTCTATAGCAATAGCAATTTATGGAATTCAATTTTTTCATGGATTTTTATTGAACGGCCTTTAGTATCAAATAATTCATTATAAACTAAATGGCTCATACTTTTATGATATATTATAATACTGTTCAACAATTCCCATGCTCTTCTAGTAATTATTCAAATGACAATATTTTTTTTAAACAATTTAATATTAGAAATTGTAAAACTTTTAACTTAAACCAATAACTCATGCAAATAGCAACTTGCTTGGGTTGCGATGTGAGCTTTATATGAGCATTTCTTGGCCTCTCAAGCTCCTTTACTTTGACCAAGATACATAAAACTCTAGAAATATATTTACAATAAACACAGCTATGCTAGGTAGTTATATTTATTTTCCACATACACACATGAATAACCTGTATGCTTATCATGAAGCTAATCTATTATTCATTACTTTGTTTGTTTCAAGTCATAACCCAACCTATACTCAGTCATATTCAAAGCAGTTCAATATAAACCAGTTAGTTGATGCATGTACATTCCTCTTAGATATCCTAATTGTAAGTTAATTTATGTTATTTACTTTTTGTAAAAATTATGTTTACAAGGAAATCTTAAACTCAATAAAAAAAAAGACAAAAGACTTATAGAGACAAATTAAAATAATATGAAGATTTAAGATGGCCTATACTGCTAATCTTATGTCTTTATTAGGTGTTCTTTTAAAAGAAAACATAGAGCTCTATATTTTTTACAAATGTCTTATAATGTAAAACTTATATTATAAAACTGTTGTGTGTTTTGTGCTGTAAAAAGTTTTTTTTTCAGAAAAATATACAAATCTTACGGCAATGGTTTCTTTGCCCATAGTAACTGTGAGGGTAAAGTATTTGGGTTGCTTGATTTTGAAGTAGGCATTCCTTGCGGCTGCTTTCCATTCCCAATATTTGGCTCTTTATAAATAACTTTTGCACAATCAACTTTTTGATCCCATATTCCAGACAAAACATAACGTGTCACATTATTTTTGTCAAAAACACAACCTGTTACCTAAAATAATATATACAAAACAAAAAATACAAAAAACAAATATATAAAATGGTTATCAAAATCTGAAAAGATTGTATTCCTGAAAAATTAAAACTATAAAACAAAGATCGAAAATGCAGCTTTTTGTTATAATTGTATTGAGCATAAAATAAAAAAAATATAAAATAAAATAAAAAAAACAACTTTGAAATGAAAAAAAGAAAAGAAAATTACTTACCCTTTTAGGAACATCTCTAGAAAAATAACTATAGGAATGATACTTTAGGTTGCACTTTTCACCTGTAGTGTGATTTATTATATCCATTTCTCCGGACTAAAATATATAAATAATAGACTGAACTTTCATAAAAAAAATTTTGATAACGATTATAACAAATAATGCAAAAATAATTTTGCTAATAAATTATTTTTTTAATAAATTTACAGTATTTGTAATTTACAGTATTTGTACAGAATTGGATTAAGAGTTGTTTTTATGCATGAACTTAAATTCTTCCCCTTATTAATTACATATATATAGAGGCGAAACAAAGATTTTACATGTCATCGTGTAGGTTTCAATTTTTTCCAAAAGTTTTTATTTGTAACTTTATATAGTCCATTCATATTAATTGATTTCCTTGTCTAGTTTTTTTATGCAATTAATGCAAATGATTTATCGATTATAATTAATATTTAATTTAGTGCTGCCGTTTTGACACAGAGTTTTTTAATAAAGATTTATTATGGTTGGCCTTAAAATATTTTCCTTTATATTTTTGATCACATTTTTTTGACCACTTGGTAAAGTAATCTTAAATCTTTATTATTTTTATTATGAATTTAATAATACCTGTGTAATCAATTATAAAACCTTTATAGTAGATAATAACTTGATGCAATTATAAACTGTGGTATAATAGTAATATAGTAATAGATAAACCTTATGTAGTAACTTATATAGTAACTTGTATAGTAACTTATGTAGTAATAGATAAACAGAATGTTATTTTCAAATTTTCCTCTAGATTAGTAAAGTAATTTTTAAAGTCAGTTAATTTTAATAACAATACAATTCCTTTGTTTCAAGTTGATTGTATTTAAAGTATATTTATCTAGAAATTTATTTATTTAGAAAAAATTCAGTTTTTTTAAATTGTATTTAAGTTAGATAACCTAATATTTGTTTTTTATTTAAAAATAAACAAAACATGTTTATAATATAAGTGAGTACAAGTTGCTGTACTCACTTATACTTGACTTATTACATTTGTTGATTGCTTTTATTGCTTATTATTATTTTTTTTTTTTACAGTATATTTTTTCTTGATAGTATCTTTTCAGTAAATACTTGTATTTTTTTCAGAATAAAGTTATATCAATTTCTATTTTATTGCTTCCAGCATCTAGGCCCTCTATCAAAGGGCCTTCTGTCAATGGTACCAATAGAGAGGAGGGATAATCTATCCTATCTCAATAAAGAGACACAACTTTAGCAGATGCTAATTTAGCAACAGATTTAATATATGGTTTCCAAGAAAGATCAGAAGTAAGAGTTAATCCTAGAAGATGAAGGGTAGATGACTCATCAAATACATTACCGTTCATAAATATAGGGAGATCTAAATTATTGCCATAACAATTGGCTGAAAAAAATTTTATCCTAATTAAAGTTTACCAGCCACTATGAGCCCCATGCTGTAGCAGAAGTGAGATCCTTTTCAAGCTCAAATGCCCCCTCTAAGCAATCAGAGAGAGTTGGCTTCTTATCATGACAAAAACAAATGGTAGTATCATCAGCGAACAATGCCACCTTAGATGAGAGAATATCTGGAAGATCGTTAATGTAAATTAAAGAGTATAGGGCCAAGGATTGAATCTGAGGAACCCCTGATGTTACAGAATAAGAAGAAGAGTGCTGTCCATCGACAACAACTTTTATACTATGATTGGAAAGGAAGGATTCAATAATCTTAAGGATGTTTCCAGATACACCGTAAGTTGATAGCTTATGGAGAAGACCAGCATAATAAACTTAATCAAATGCTTTAGGAATCTCAAGAGCAATGGCCTTAAACTCTTCACCTTTATCTAATGCACGATAAAACCTATCAGTTATTACTTTTAGCAAATCAGCCTTAGAACGAGAAGATTGAAATCCATATTGATGATCAAAAAGTAAGTTAGATTCAAAATGAGAGATTAAGTGTTTGTTAATTAAAGATTCAAAAACCTTGCTTATATTAGGAAAAAGACTAATGGGACAGTAGTTCGACGAATCAGATTGCTTTCTAGAAATTTTAAAAATAGGGATAACAGATGCTGCTTTCCAGCAGGCTTGAAAACAAGACTCTGATAAGCACTTGTTGAATAGTTTTGAAAGGATAGACGACAGCTCCGGAGAACACTTATGCAAGATTATAAAAAGTATATTGTCCCGGCCACAAGCTGTAGAAGTTGGAGTGATGCAAATGTCAAGCAATGGATCAACTTGTTTGACGACTATATCAGGTAGAACGCAACTAGTGGAATCAAAAGATGATATTAATGAAAAGTTCTTAGCAAACAATTCAGCTTTGTCTTTTGGTGAGGTGACAAAGTCTGAACCATACAAAAGGGGTGGGATTACAGACTTGCCCTTATTATTGGTACTATTAAAGATTCTCCAGAAGTCACGAGAGCCTAATCTTTGTGATGAAATACAAGATTTCATGACCTGAGAGTAGTGGGCTTTGGCATCAGTCAAAACCTTTTTACAATGGTTCCTAGCAGTAATAAGCAGACGTCTGTTTTCTGGAGATAGATATGGAAGTAATGGTTTCGATTGGCAACTGCAGCAGCACAATGTGAGGAAAAACATGGAGAAGAGTGAGGCTTGACCTGGAATTGTCGAGAGAAAATAAAGGATTTCATGCCAGCCTGAATCCACTAAGTTATGTAAGAAGCACATTTGTCGAAAAGAAGACAAAAGATTTCTACCAAAGGGCAATCACAAAGAAAGTCGCAGAAGGAGTCCCAGTCAGCTTTAAGGTAGTTGTAAGATGTATGATAATAGGGGGATTCTGATGATAAAGAAGAATGAAATAATAGTTTTAGAGAGATCATAGTTTTAGAGAGATCAAACTGTGATCAAAGGCACCTAAGGGTAAATGTGGAGAAACTGAGCACTGACTAGGATCAGAAACAATTGACTATTTGAGTTAAGGATTGAGAAAGGCAAAAGTTGTGGACTTTAATGCCTGAAGAGTCACTGACACTTGAGCCAAGCCATTCTGTGTGATGAACATTAAAGTCACCAACAACAACAATATTGGCTGATGGATAAAGAATGAGGGCTTGGTCAATATAATCAAAAATAACATCAAGAAGAGTGCAGTCTTGAGATGAAGGAGAGCAATACAGACCAAAGAGAAAGGCGATAGAGTGAAAAAGGTGCTAAACGAAAGCACATAAAAGAATAGTTGGTGAATTTAAACCTAGTTTCCCAACAAATGGGTGAATTCTTACGAATGTAAATGCCCAGGCCAAGCATGTGACTATTGGAGTCTTTATGAATTAAAGGAAGATAACCATCAACACTAAGATCACAAGATGAGACAGCTGAACTCAAATTAGTCTCACAAAGAGCAAGTAGGTCTGGTGAACTTTGCAAGAGATAAGACTCAACAGAAGAAAAGTTTCTTCAAAGACCACGAATATTGGTGAATGAATAGTTTAGCGAACTTGGTGATGACTGTGGTTTTCTGTGTTTTATAGTTTTTACTTTATTCATTCTTAAATTTGTTAAAGAACTTGACTCAAAACATAGATAGTACTCCAGGCTTTCCCAGGAAAGGCGTGCAGTCGCACGCCTTGTTTGTCCACGCATAGAATAAACTTTCCAGAAAACGTGACCGCGGCAATATTTCGTGGGAAAGCAGAACTTATCCACAGAGAATAAAAAATAATATTAAAAAAAGGAAATGAAGTCTAAACAAAGTATAAAATTAAAATTAGATGTAAGAAAAATAATTTGATTTCCCTGGTAGTACTGCGCTCAACTCGTTTCTCCGCGCAGCGGCCTTGCTCGTCAAGGTTCGTGTTTCGGAGTTATAGAGTTGAGAGAGGGTTATAACCACAAATAAGTAGCCTCCTCGTCTGTAGTGGCCTTCTCGGCCTTGAGGAGGTGAATTAAAATAAAAAAAAATTAAAAAAAAATTAAAAAAAAAAAAAAATCTTGTAACAAAAAAAAAAAAAAAGTCCTGAACATTTTTTTCAAAGTTTTTATACTGTTTTTGTTTTCTTTTTTTAGGGTTGCTATTTTCAGCTACGAAATTTGATACAAGTCAAGGAAAAGGCGACAATAATTCATAAAGTTTTCACGAAAATAAAAAGACTTGATACGTAATTTATTCACGAACTTTATCAGATAATGTATTAAAAAAACTGATTCATTATTTACACTAGACAAATTTGATTAAATTTTTTCATTTAATTTAGTTTTTACGAAGGTTTATGCAAAGGCGATGACGTTGTTCCCCAATACTTAGACAAGAAAATAAATTGCTGTTTTAATTATTAAATATATTATTTGAGATTTTAAAGATAACAAAATTTTAATGTAAAAAAAGTTCTCTCTCGACTTATTCTAAACTGATGATACTGAGTCAATGCTTGCCTTTTATTATGTTGAAATTATTCAATTGCATAATTTTGTAATTACGAAAGAAGTTAAAAAAATTATTGCATTGCTTCTGTTGTCATTGTTACGAAAACAGTTCCTTCGACACATTATTATATATTAACAATTGTTCACAATGTAAATTAATGATTGCAAAATAAGCAACCTAGTCGTTTGACAATAAAATTTTTGAAAATTGAAAAAAAAACATATTTTACAAATAAATAGCAATCGTTTTCGCGCTTTCTTGCGTATCAATACATTTAAACATTTAAATGTATTTACGAAACATTTAAAAATTAATTAAAGTTCTATCGTGAATTTTAAAGTATTACTGACTGATAAAAGTCATAAACAAATTTTACATTAAAAGGTCCTTTTACTTTCATTAAACAATAATTTTTTTCTTTTTGATTTGATTTTTCTTATTGATTTTAATTTTTTTTATTTATTTGATTTTTCATAGCTAAAATAACTACCGCCCTAAAAAACAAAATCAAAAAAATAAATAAAATATAGGTAAATTTTTTTTTTAATAATATACATTAATTTTTAAATTTGAAAGCACAAACAGATTTCTTTTATTTACTTTAAGATTGCTTGTATTTTTGCGGTATTTTTGTTTAGCTTTGTTTTGGCGCAAATTCTTGAAGCGCATAATAATAAAGAATTTA